GAATAGTTGCAATTTAGTAACGAGTGTTTATGCCCAATCCCACCTCCCTCCCTTACAGATTTATGAAAAAGTTAAATATGGGTACTCTCAATTTTTTAGTTTTGTAAAACTATTATATGACTGTATTTCAGTTCCCATTTTATTTTATTTCTACATAATTTGACCAGATGGATTATCCAGATTATCTACATCTTGAAATTATACTGAATAAAAATGGAGGACAATATCTTCCATCTGCCCTTTGATTATTTCAACTCAAAATTGTTGCTCCAGCTCATATACAGGGACAGCTTGGAACAATTTCTATGCTTGGTCTGCTGGAATGTGTTGAGAGTGGAAATTCCTCTAACACACATTTTATATTTCTTTTGGTCCTAAGATGCTCCTTTGTATTCAAGTGTGGCCTCAGAATGATAATGTAGCACTTGGGGAGGAAGATGCAGACCAGCAGACCAGCACTGGAGGCCAAGATGGAGAAGACCTGCACAGCCACCATGTAATTCCCCTTGGTGCTCAGGTAAGTGGGCAGGAAGGAGACCCAGACATTGCAGAAGACCAGCATGCTGAAGGTGATCAGCTTGGCTTCATTGAAGGCTCCAGGGAGATTCCGGGCCAGGAAAGCCACTGTGAAGCAGATGGCAGCCAGGAAGCCCATGTAGCTGAGGGTGATGTAGAACATGAAAACAGAGCCTTCATTGCATTGCAGGATGATCTCTCCAGGCTGGGAATGGAAGTCCAAGTCACAGAATGGGGGAGAAATTCCCAACCAGATGGAGCAGATCATAATTTGGACATTAGAACAAGAAAGGATGATGCAGTTGGCCAAGTTCTTCCCCAACCATCTCTTCACTCGGTTTCCTGGTTTTGTGGCCAGGAAGGCCAGCACCACTGTGATGGTTTTGGCCAAGAGAGAAGAAACGGCAACTGAGAAGACGATGCTGAAAACTGTTTGTCGGAGAAGGCAAGTGGCTTTCCTTGGTTGACCAATGAAGAGAAAAGGAGACAAGAAGCAAAATAGGAGGGAGACCAGGAGAATGTAAGAAAGGTCTCGGTTGTTGGCTTTCACAATGGGAGTTTCTAGGTATTTAAGGAATATGATTAAAACAAGTCCTGTGGTTAGGAACAGGAGAACGGCAATGGAGATGAGGAGGATGCTGAGATGTTCTTCATAGGACAGGAAGGTTATTCTTTTGGGGATACATTGGATTCTGTCCTCATTTGGATATTTTTCATCAGGACACTTGTTGCATTTTTCTATGTCTGAGTAAAACAAAAAAGCAACATTTAAAAAACCTATTCCGTACTTTCACATTTTAAGAAATACCTTCTTGCAACAAAATGTGTTACCAGCAGCATTTTCTGAAAAGTATTGCTTAAAATCTATACACAAAGAAGGTAAGAATAAGATTTTCTGTTTAAAAAAAGTGATATTTTTATAGTTTCTGAAATTGGAAGAAGTCCTGGAACCTGAATGATTTCTTCTGTCATTTGCCGAACCTATATTGTTAGAGGAAGATAATGAATCAATTAATCTTTCTAAATACATTTCCTGGATCCTGAGCTTTGGCTCTTCTTAATATATTTGATGTGGGATGGCTGTCTTTTGAAATTGAATTAGCTAGAAAAAAAGTTAGTTCTGCAAATAATCTGGAATCCAAACTAGAAACAGAAGAGATTTTTTTCTGGCAGTAGAGAAGCTTGTCCAATCTGCTACACCACCTACCTCTTCCTCGGCCTTCCCTCAAGGTTTTTCTGCTATCCCTCCCTCTAAATAAGAAATTGTGCAATTTGAAGATAA